TTTCCCTTTCACACCCCCTGGGGATGGATGGAGGGATGGACGCCACCACAGCGTGTTGGAGCCTCGAACCAACACCAAATCCATCCCTCCATCCCCCACACACCACTATGATGGGTGGAATGGACGGGTAGTTGGATACTTGAACCAACTACCCGAACAAAACCCTAATTCCATCCACCCATCGTGCCAGACGCCACCATCCTGGCACACCATTCCCCAGGGGGTGTGAAAAAAATGCAAGAGGTAGGGACGGGGACGGGGGAAGAACGGATGGAAGGAATTGTAATGAAAGTATGCATGGACATAGAGTGAAGGAAATAGGGGGGACAGCATTGCACATTAGGTACGCACATATACAAAAGCGGCATTGATTACGGCATCGGCGTTCAGGACCAGGCCAAAGGGGGTACAGCGAGTCATTTGATCGGAATCATCATCATCTTGCATAGGTTGGGTGGATGGGGATGTTAGGATACTTGGACCAACTCCCCATCCACCCCAACCACCATCACCAACAACAGCAACACATAGAGCGGAGGGGGGTTATCTTACGATGTATTTGGTGTGGATGGGATGTCGGATACTTGGACCGACTCCCATCCAAACCATCACGCGGTGGCGGCGGCATGAGTTGTACATACATGGATAGGGGAGGGGAGGGAAAGCATAGGCGTCTATAGGATTCGGAAAATATCTATCTAATACCCTTCATCATTATCATAATGAGGATACTACGTAGACGTGCGTGTGTGATAGGAGTAATCCTTTAGTAGAAGTTGATAACAGTAAGATTATTATCGTGGAAATGAGACCTATAAGGACTTCGTAAAAGAAGCTCTGTATAGGTCGTCGTAGTAGCAGCTATCCCTTCTCACAATCGGCATCGCCTGTGATGCTAAGGGCTAGCCAGCCCGTAAATTTGCTTATATATCGGGTTTCGAACTATCATTCCCTCACAGCTCCTAGTGCTTGATTATGGTTACTGTGTCCGCTAGGATGGATGGTTACTGTCTCTATGCGAGCTAAAGTTACTTGTCCAGATCGAAGCTAGGGAGTTCACGATCTTATCATGGAACATCAGATGACATCTTATGGCTATAAGGCAGTTTTAGGAGTATGAGCTTAAACAGAGAATTCAAGTCACAGAAGAGAGAACCACTGCAGATAATATTTGGGAACTGAACGTTTCATTTGTCCAGGATGCTGTTCTTTTGGTATGTCTCCTTTACGCCCCGTAGCCGAAATGCAAAGTGACCAGTCCTCCTACCAGACATGCAGTAAATGCCTGTATCCTTTCCTTCATCTATAGTGAAAGCGGCTGGCCATGTCGGTATCTTCCAATCATAAAGACATGTCGTCAATAAGGTAGGTTGTGTAAGTCCGCCTCTCCCCAATGCTCCCAGAAACGCTCTTCATTTACATCACGACACCGGAGTTGCTGGCAATACGCTATTCAGATAAGTTAGAGATGTTAATGCGAGAGATACATAGCGAGGTAACTTACGGGCCATAACTCAGCAGCCTCCTTGCCGACGGGTCCAGTGATGGCAGAGCCCTTCATCTCACCCTTGGGGTTGACGATCTAGAAATTCAATATTAGCATGCTAGTTCCGATAGCTGTAGATAGCCGCATGTGCTGCCAGATCCCGCCTGCCTGTCCTTTGCGCAGAATCGTGCAGTAAAATCGGACCTCCTTCTCGTGATCATATGGAGCCGGCTGGGTGCAATAAAAGGGTCAACTTACGACACCAGCGTTGTCCTCGAAGTACAGGAAGACACCGTCAGTTCGCTTCCAGGGCTTGGACTGTCTGACGATAACGGCGGGGTGGACCTTCTTGCGGAGCTCGGGCTTTCCCTTCTTGACGGTGGCCATGACCATGTCACCGACACCACCAGCGGGCAGTCTGTTGAGGCGGGCACCGATACCCTTGACGGAGATGATGTACAAGTTTCGGGCGCCAGAGTTGTCGGCGCAGTTCATGATAGCACCGCTATTCGATCCGTTAGCACCGGATGCTCGACAATTCGCTTCGGAAGAGGGTGATTCTGCACTTACACAGGCAGACCGAGGGTCATCTTCAGCTTGCCACCGGGGGCACCACGCCTATGAGATAGAGTGTTAGTAAAATGCCCCGAAATTCGTTCGTGCCACGTGAATGCGATTGCCCGTCGCTTGCGATCGATTCCTAGGCAATCCCGACCACACCGAAGCTTGGAGTTCGAAATTCTGCTCGATCGCCATCCCAGAGTTCCAAGTTCCGCTGACAGAAACTCCTAGCATTCCTCCTCTTATCATGTGAGCTGCTCGTCTGTCGACATCCTCTCCGTATCTCAATTTCCCCGCCAAAATTCGATTCCTTCTCTTATCGTACCCCTCCAAGCTTCCGGTGCAATTCGCGCGAGATTCGGAATCGAATTAAGATATACTTACGAGATCTTGGCCATTGCGACTGATTTGTTCGGGGTTCTTTACGATCGGGTGTGGTGATGGTCGAGAGACGTGGTTGTCGAGGTAGTTGTGACAAAAATGTTCAAGGGCTCCAAATTTCTTGGTAGTAGGTGGTGGAGGGTACGCAAACGCGAAATGTGCGGCTTGGTGGGAAAAAAAACCCTAGGGGCCCACACAAGTTAAGAAGCGATTTCCATAAAGAGCAATCAGTTCACGTGATGCTCAGGTACGTAGCTTCTTCGGCGTGCCTTCGTACCTTAGCCGATGGCCTGTGCGTCAAGAAGCTTAAGCTTTGAATTTCTCATCTCACTCCACTCGCTCCATCGCCGGTTCCCGGTGCCATAAGGATGCGAAATGTCATTACGAACCGAGGTATTTTAAAATATATGAAGCTTCATTCTTCTCTTGACTTATTTTTCAAAATAAGTTATAAGAAACTTTTAAGCTTGTATGCTCTTATCTTCAGGTTTCTACTGATAAATTGCTCAATTCTCTATGCTTAAGTTCACGTAATATCAACAAGCGTCAAATAGACGATATACAATCTGCCAGTTTGCACATTTTCATGTATTGGTGTGGTAATACGGTACTTTGTATAATCTCTCAGTACATGTGAGAATATATTCGCCTTAGAAGCAATGCCACTACAACTAGTGGTCATCACGCTCAGACCAAGGCTTCACGGCCTCAAGCAGCTTCAAGTGGACGTCTGCGTCTCCACTAGCTTTCAATACATTCTCAAGAAAATCATCGCCAACTCTGCGCATGAATATAAGGAATGCGGCATGTACGAAATCGACATAGGCCAGGGTCTTGCCATCGAAGAAAGGCCCGTCTGGCTTTTCCTTCAGCAAGGCGGTGATTTTCTGCAGATGCGGCGTAGCAGCTGCCCATGCCTTTTCTCCTCCCGGGCCCCCTGACTCCTCCAGTTTCTCCATAGTCAAACCAGTCCACTTCTCACGGGTTGTGCGGAAGTGGTCAAGGCTGCGCTCATTCAAAATTCTCTTGTAGACTCCGGGCATATAGATGGGCCCGATGGCTCCGAACACAGCGACCAACTGCTCCGTGTACCTCGGCAGGTAAGGCGTGTCTAGGGGCAAGCTTGGCTCTGGATACTTCTCCTCGAGCACTTTGGCGATCTCTTTCGAGTCCGTGACCCATGTTCCATCAGGCAAGATGATGGTCGGAACAGTGTACATATCCGTCTTTGGAAGACTACATCGCCTATGTAAATGTGTGCAGATAAAACAACGCCGTATGGGAAACTCACTGGTCTTGGAATCTGGGTTTAATATCGGGATACTCAATCTAGTAGTGCGGGTTAGAGTAACTCGAAACAAGAGCACTTGAAAGATTGGCGAGTCATACCCATTCCGTCCTATAGGGAACCCCCTTATAATTCAACACAAGCCGAGCTGTTCCCGTCATTTAGTTTCTATGGTCCTTTCCAGGTAAACCAGCAACACGTACTCCTTAAGGTGTTCCCCGACCACGACTTGTTTGGAGGTTTGGATGGCAAGTCGAAGAATACGATCTCTTGGTTAGACATTGCGAGCGAGTTAATAATGACGATAATTGAGAACTTTGCGAGTTATCAAAGAAGATATCAACAGGTACTGTGGCTACGAACTAGGTAGATAGGTTAAGCTAAATGGAATTAGAGGAAGGTTCGTTGATATTTATGTTGATAGTTACATCATGACTAAACAGGCTGACACGGTAGTTAACCCCGCTCAACCATGCATCTGCATCCCGTAAGGCGTACACTCAACGTATCAAGATAAAAGCCGCGAGTAAAAACGTCTTGCATGCTGTCCCCTTTTACAGATTTGGCAAATAGGATTCCATTGCTTGGTTTCAATCCCGCCCGTTGTGGTCTGACAGTGCTACCAGAGTCATTTTCTGATATTCTAGCTCCTCCCTGGATAAACTCCGTGACTTTCTCCGCGATGTCACATATGAACGAGTTTCAATGGCTGACCGCGAATAACGATATGTCCTCAGCTAAATTATTAAGCTGCTACATGGATTAGTGGCCGGACCAAGGGGTGGGGTTTAGCGTTCTTCGCTCGACTTGTTACCATACCGGACTGCAGACCGATAGAATCATATCTTGCTCGTTTGTCCGACTGTACTCGCAACTTACTGCCAGCAACATATTATTAATCATATAAAAGCTGATTAATTCCATCGACTACTTCGGGACAAAGATGATACGTTGGGTGCTCGATGGTCCCCCCATTTGTGGAAACGCCGTCTCTTGCAGATAGGCTATGCCGTGTAACCACAGAGGTAGCATTTCAGCCTCCGTATTAGACTACGCTTATCCGGGCCGCATTCTGTTTGATGTGTTGTGTGTTGTGTGATATTATTCTAAATACAGGCCAATGCCCGCAAGGTCATAATTTTGTCTGATCGACCTTTTCCTTTGATACTGTGTGTTTTGTATGGTTTGCATTAGTATGCCCCGCTCCATGGAGCTCTGAACAAATACTATATAGGCTAGTATTAAGAGCTTGACACTCATCGCTTACATAAGGTAGAGCGCATTGGCACTTTGGCGGAGTGGTTAACGCGATGCCCTGCTATTCCCAATAGAGATAGCTTAGGCATTCCCTTCGGGGGCGTGTGTTCGAATCACACAGGTGTCGCTTTCTTTTTCGATTTTCTTCCTTTTTCTTCCATTGATACCTACATGTACCAACACGCTTCTTTTTATGTATCACGACAGCACATCTTTCGATGCTGAATCCTTGATATTCCTATTTTCCGCTATATGTATGCTCTTCGAATATCCTATGTGAGCATTGTATTCGACAACCAACGCGTTAAGAGCTATATTATTCAAGCCAGCGCAATGCCAAATACCAAATGAAGTAGTCATATTTCGAATCTAAGGTATACATACATACATGTATACGAAGGCTCGCCTTACCGGTGGTATCCAAGTGCTATATGATTCAATATGTCACATACGACCTTGAGTGAGCAATGTTAGGTATTAATTATGTAGGGCTTGTCTTAAGCTGAGCAGCATACATGGTGGCAATTTACATTGGGAAACATGCAGGAATCAGGTAGTTTCTTGGACTCCTGGCTTCCCCGGATTGTCTCTCCATTAATTCCCCACTGCCTTATAAGCCGGCAACCTAGAATACATAGGTAGGTTAGCCCCTTGGACACAGTACATAGATGATTCTAGACCTATGCTTGCACATTTAGTTATGCGGTGGCTAATATGTATGATATCAAGCAAGCACTACTGAAAGTCGACTTGACTATTAGTGTTAACGTGAGCAAGGGACGAAATTCGCCGTGTCCGCTTACATGAATACGAATCCCCAAGGCACATCTTATTGCTGGAGAAATACTTGGCTTTCCAGTCCAGTATATATACATACATGTAGGTATTTATATATGTTTAAGCTTGGCATTCTGGAAACTTCTGCTAAATGAAACCACGACCCTTCCCAGATTCCTGCTAGATAGATGCCATAGGTACACCATATCACAACTTCTTTGAAAGTGCAAGGCACAATACTATTGGTAAGTGATCAGTCGTTGCACTGTAAATAGAATTAGGTATTATTCTGTCCTAGCAGTACAGTGCATCTTGTATGTGCCCTTGTACCCGTGCATTTGTAGCCAATGGGAGCGGCGGAAATCATCTAAAAGGTTAAGCACGGTTGCCCAAATCTGAAATCGCTGCTTTCTTTGACATGATTGGCTAGTCGTTCAGCTGCTGGGCACTTGCACAATACTTTCTGATATTTACTGTGTTGGTGTGTGCACGAACCTGTATCAATTCGAGTCGCGCAAATCACCCCAGTACCGGCCGACAACAATACATATACCAACCTCTCATCTTGAAGTTTCAGTAAACCTTCCATTTAAACATTGAAGCTTCTGGACCGAGGTACGTGAGCTTCGTCCCTTTCGTACCTCAATGTACTAAGTGCAGTAGTCCAGATCCCGACTAGTGCCGAAGCTAGCATTATCGATAAGTGTGGGCTGCAGGGTGGCTGATCCTTGCCTGTCCTTGGAAACTCAAAGCACTTAGACATATTCTCGCGATCCAAGCAATCTTTTGATTTCTTCCCACCTTCTCCCACCTTCATACCACAACTTCCTAGTCAACCTCAGTCAGCCATGGCGCACGCTCCTGTTGACATCTGGAATGGGAATGGCAACGCCTTGGGAGCTTCGTCTCCCAAGAAGGTCGCCTATTTCTACGACTCCGACATTGGCAATTTCGCCTATGTCTCTGGTCATCCCATGAAACCTCATCGCATTCGGTTGGCGCACAGTCTGATCATGAACTACGGTGTCTACAAGAAGATGGAGATCTATGTAAGTACCTTGCGCCCCCTTTACCAATATGAGCAATGTAACTCACGATCTTTCAGCGCGCGAAACCAGCTACTCGACTTGAGATGACGCAGTTCCACACGGATGAGTACATTGACTTCTTGCAGCGAGTCACACCCGAGAACATGGATAACTTCCAGCGCGAGCAAGGAAAGTACAATGTTGGCGATGATTGTCCAGTGTTTGACGGGCTCTTCGAATTCTGCGGCATCAGTGCTGGTGGCAGTATGGAGGGTGCAGCGCGACTCAATCGGCAGAAGTGCGACATCGCTGTCAACTGGGCTGGTGGATTGCACCACGCGAAGAAGTCGGAGGCGAGCGGCTTCTGTTATGTGAATGGTACGTTTTATAATATTCTTATTCCACGCTTATCTTGTAGTACTAACAGCCTGGCTCCTCGATAGACATTGTTCTTGGCATTCTCGAACTTCTCCGATTCAACAAGCGCGTCCTTTACATTGACATCGACGTCCACCATGGTGATGGTGTCGAGGAAGCCTTCTACACCACCGACCGAGTCATGACCGTGTCTTTCCACAAGTACGGCGAGTACTTCCCCGGAACTGGTGAACTTAGAGACATCGGTATCGGTCAAGGACGATACTACGCGACTAACTTCCCCCTCCGAGACGGCATTGACGACGCCTCATACAAGTCGATCTTCGAGCCCGTCATATCGAGTGTTATGGAGTTCTACAACCCTGACGCCGTCGTTCTCCAGTGTGGTGGCGACAGTCTATCTGGTGACCGCTTGGGTTGTTTCAATCTGAGTATGGATGGCCACGCGAACTGCGTGAAGTTTGTCAAGAGCTTCAATCGCCCAACCCTGGTCCTTGGCGGAGGTGGCTATACCATGCGTAATGTCGCCCGTACCTGGGCCTTCGAGACGGGCCTCCTTGTCGATGCCAAGATGGATCGAACTTTACCTTTCAATGAGTATTACGACGTAAGATCATACCCATACTCCTATTATTTCTACAACTAACTTTGGAATTAGTATTATGGTCCTGACTTCACACTCGATGTGCGCTCTTCCAACATGGAGAATGCGAACAGTCCCGAGTACTTGGACAAGATCAAGAACCAGCTCATCGAGAATCTGCGACGCACTGCGCATGTCCCATCTGTACAGATGCAGGATGTTCCTCGTCATTCTATGGGCGCAATGTCTGACGAGGACGAAGCTGAGCTCGATGATCTCGACGAAGATGAGAACAAAGATGTTCGCATGACTCAGCGCCAATGGGAGCAGCGCATTGAGCGCGATAACGAATATGAAGACAGTGACAACGAGGAGTTGGACAAAGCGAATGGAATCCACCGCAACGGCAGCACTCGACGAACCTTCATTGACTATCGCAACTCAGATGTCGAGGCTGATAGTGGCGTTGTGACTCCCGCTAATGGCACCGTTGAGGATGTCATTAAATCTAAGGAAACGGATGATGTTGTTATGGAAGATGCAGTCGAGAAGGAGCCAGAGCTAGATGCGGATGCACGTGCCCCTTCGAAGACACATGAGAAGGACGCCGAAGAAGAGGTCAAGGCCGCCGGCATTGCTGAGCAGGAGGAGGCTCTCAAGGAGGCTCAAGGAGCCGCAAAGTCCGACAAAGACGACAGTGAGAGCGAGAAGACCGCAGGTGCCGAGAACGAAAGCACAGGAGACAAGGCGGAGCCGTCCAAAGAGACGGACGAGGTCATGCAGGATGCAGACGAGACCAAGGATTCACCAGCTGCAGAAGCTGAGAAGGCATCCAGTGCTGCGCCCGAGGCCAAGCAGTCATCACCTGAGAAGGTTGACTCGGACGGTGACATTGACATGGACAGTTCGGCGGCTCCCGCCGAGTCAAAGCCGGAAGACGCAGTTGATGTCAAGAAAGAGCAGCCCGCCGACAATGCTTCTGCTACTTCTCCTAAGCCGACAGACACAACCACGAAAGAGGATGCAAGCTCGTAGAATGGGCACAACAATCCACGTCCTTATTTCTGTCGTTACGTTTTAATGTTGGGTAGACGCCGCATTCGCCAGCTCGATGTTATTGTCTCTCGAGACGGACGACCACGCAGGGCGCTTTAGGGGTTTGGTGTTCATAGGAACCTTTCTCATTGTAAACTAGCCGAGCATTGGCGTTCAGGTTTAGGCAACCATCTTTGAGGAAGGCCTTCTTGCTTTGATGCGGCTAATACACCGCATAGGTAGTTTGATTTTGCTTGGTAATGGATCACACCGCATTCATGTACTTGCTGGTCCTGAGAGCTGAAGTGTCTACGTTGTATGTGATATGCCGAGATTGTACTATTATCGCAAACCAACTTTAACTGTATAGTTAGCAGAGCGTGGATGGATGATGATCGCCGACCTGTTTGTCTATCGCCGACATGAGTATGAGAATTACACTGGACACGGCCGCAGAATAAATTACCTGATTTTACCATACATGAGACGTAGTGAACTGGGACCCCCATGGTACAAAAAGATTAGGCTTACTAGTAGTAGTGGGCATTCATTGTCGTAGAACGTTTTCTCTTTATGTGATGAGCTAAGATGATCATTGTGCTTGAAATGTCACAAACCAGATTGCTGCTGCTTGAATCATTGTATACTTCATGGCAATAAAAAGAAAGTAACCCGGGGCTCCGTTGAAAGCTAGTGAATCTTTTGGACTAAGAACCATACTGTGAGGGTATATATAACAGCGTGAAAGAACTCTAGGCGGTGCAGTAAATTATACATGTAATACCTATAAACATGGTTTATAGGCTTCTGACGTAACGAGGTTAGTTAGAAAATCGTTACATGTCTAAAAGTACCTAGGTACCTGTTGTGGACGATTCGAATTTCCCTTTCTGGTAAGTAAATGCCAAGGAATACCTGGCTTCCCTGCCGGGATTCTGTGGCTGGTGAAGTGGGCCCGAGTACCGAGCTCCCTTATCGATTAAGACAGCTCTTGGCTTTAGCTGCTTAGGTAATTGCCTGCAGGCAGATCTGGGCCTCGTCAACAGCCGGCAATTTGTTGTAAGCTTCATTCTAAAGATCGCCTCTTGACAATTCAATCAACACCAACGATACTACGCCATATCACCATTCAACTCCTCCTCCTCTCCTCCCACACTACGGAAATTCATCCGATAGACCTCAACACTTCGCGCAGTCTCTTCAGCCTACTGTAATCCTCTTCGCAGTAGCGCAAACACATCAAGATGGACCGGTTGAACAGAATGCTTGCCGGTGCCAGCATGGGCCTTGGCTCGGCCCCGGGGACGGTGAGTAGCTTTGCATTTT